ACTCGATTATAAGAAATTCTCTGCAATACCCACCCCTATTCTTTACCCTCGTGGGACACCATCATCCTTCCATCTGGCGTACAATCGAATGGTTCCAAAACGAACATGCAGCAGTACCGTCTGTGATTGCGCAAGATTCTGTGGGCAACCCTCGAACAAGAGACATCCAGCTCAAGAAGAAACTACGAAATTTGTGTTTGGACAGAGTAGCTGGCCGAAAGACTGTCACTCAGACTCTTCACGGTATGGGATGGAACATTCGGCTACATGAAATGTTCTTAGACAATTGATGTAGTGTCATTGCAGATGATAGTGTTGTGATCTGATTTTATGATGTCATGTATTATACTGGAATAAATACATTAATTTAAAAAGTTAGGTTCAGATGTGGTTCGAATGTGGTTCAGAGTAATTTATGTAGTGCTATTGATGATAATATTGTTATGACTTGTTGAAGAAATACATTATTAATACTGACTTTTTTTATTTTATGACTTTTCTCTTATGACTTAGTTTCCTACCCAAATCTATGACTTTAGTATTGCAATAGTATTTTTTCTCCTTGAATTGTTTCATTTGAAGTCATTTCCCAAATGAATGTATAGTTTATATAACAAGTTGAAGTAGTTTCAGTCTCTTTTAATAACTGACAAGAAACTTGAAAGCCAGATCCAGTAAACAGTTAACACATGAACTCAATGAAACTGCAAGTCTGCACCCAGACATCCTGTATTTTGTGCTGCGCATTTATCAACGGAAGTCAATTACTATCAATAACTATCGATAGTCACACATACTATCGATGCATCGATAGTTTTCGTTTCTATCATCGATTAATTGCTATCGGAGACTAAACAATTGCAATCCATCGATAGTTCGATACATCGTTACAGCACTAGTGTTGAATGTGTATCGCACTGATGACATGGTATATCGTAAGTGATATGCACTGATGACATGGTATATCGTAAGTGATATGCACTGATGACATGGTATATCGTAAGTGATATGCACTGATGACATGATATATCGTAAGTGATATGCACTGATGACATGGTATATCGTAAGTGATATGCACTGATGACATGGTATATCGTAAGTGATATGCACTGATGACATGGTATATCGTAAGTGATATGCACTGATGATGGTGACGTGGTATATCGTAAGTGATATGCACTGATGACATGGTATATGGTATATCGTAATGCACCGATGATATAAGTGATATGCACTGATGACATGGTATATCGTAAGTGATATGCACTGATGACATGGATGATATGCACTGATGACATGGTATATCGTAAGCGATATGCACTGATGACATGGTATATCGTAAGCGATATGCACTGATGACATGGTATATCGTAAGCGATATGCACTGATGACATGGTATATCGTAAGCGATATGCACTGATGACATGGTATATCGTAAGCGATATGCACTGATGACATGGTATATCGTAAGTGATATGCACTGATGACATGGTATATCGTAAGTGATATGCACTGATGACATGGTATATCGTAAGTGATATGCACTGATGACATGGTATATCGTAAGTGATATGCACTGATGACATGGTATATCGTAAGCGATATGCACTGATGACATGGTATATCGTAATATGATATGCACGTGATGACATGACATATCGTAAGTGATATGCACTGATGACATGGTATATGCACTGATATGCACTGATGATGGTATATCGTATATCGTGGTTGATATGCACTGATGATATGCACGTGATGATGACATGGTATATCGTAAGTGATATGCACTGATGACATGGTATATCGATATGCACTGATGACATGGTATATCGTGATATGCACTGATGACATGGTATATCGTAAGCGATATGCACTGATGACATGGTATATCGTAAGTGATATGCACTGATGACATGGTATATCGTAAGTGATATGCACTGATGACATGGTATATCGTAAGATGATATGCACTGATGACATGGTATATCGTAAGTGATATGCACTGATGACATGGTATATCGTAAGTGATATGCACTGATGACATGGTATATCGTAAGTGATATGCACTGATGACATGGTATATCGTAAGCGATATGCACTGATGACATGGTATATCGTAAGTGATATGCACTGATGACATGGTATGTCGTAAGTGATATGCACTGATGACATGGTATGTCGTAAGCGATATGCACTGATGACATGGTACATGTATATCATATGTGATATGCACTGGTATATCGTAAGTGATATGCACTGATGACATGGTATATCATAAGTGATATGCACTGATGACATGGTATATCATAAGCGATATGCACTGATGACATGGTATATCGTAAGTGATATGCACTGATGACATGGTATATCGTAAGTGGTGATATGCACTGATGACATGGTATGTCGTAAGCGATATGCACTGATGACATGGTATATCGTAAGCGATATGCACTGATGACATGGCATATAAGTCACGTGATATGACATGGTATATCGTAAGTGATATGCACTGATGATACATGGTATATCGTATGTGATATGCACTGGTATATCGTAAATGATATGCACTGATGACATGGTATATCGTAAGTGATATGCACTGATGACATGGTATATCATAAGTGATATGCACTGATGGCATGGTATATCATAAGTGATATGCACTGATGACAGGGTATATCGTAAGTGATATGCACTGATGGCATGGTATATCATAAGATGATATGCACCGATGACATGGTATATCGTAAGTGATATGCACCGATGACATGGTATATCATAAGTGATATGCACTGATGACATGGTATATCGTAAGTGATATGCACAGATGACATGGTATATCGTAAGTGATATGCACTGATGACATGGTATATCGTAAGTGATAGGCACTAATGACGTTGTATATTGCTGTGTGTAGCACAGATGATGTGATGTAGTATACGAGTATCTCGATGACATGGTAGATTGCAAGTGTATTGCACAGATAACATGCTTTATTGCCCGTATGGTGGAACATAACCAGCGTCATGTGTATCATATGTGCACATATCACTTTTGCCTAGCAACCATTGTTTCTGTATTTTGTCGTGTGACGTCATTAAACAATTGAACGTGACGTCATTGAAGAGGGCCGTCACACCGTGTTTTATTGCACAAATGTACATGAATAAAATGGATAATAAAGAAATTATTACACTCGAGCAAGTGTGTCATACGACTTATACCAAACCCGTGCAAAATTGTGTATTGCGCTCGCTCTCACTCGGACAATACAAATTTTCACACTCGTTTCGTATAAGTCACGTGACACGCTTGCTCGTGTAATACTCTCTCTATATTTTTTCGTTCAGCATGCTACAAGTGTACAGCACAGGTGGTATGTTATATTGTACGTGTATAGACATTTGACATGGTATATTGTAAGTGTACAGCACAGATGGTATGTTATATCGTAAGTGTATAGACATTTGACATGGTATATAGTAAGTGTACAGCACAGATGGTATGTTATATTGTAAGTGTATAGACATTTGACATGGTATATAGTAAGTGTACAGCACAGATGGTATGTTATATCGTAAGTGTATAGACATTTGACATGGTATATTGTAAGTGTACAGCACAGATGGTATGTTATATCGTAAATGTATAACACATGCGACATGGTATATTGTAAGTGTACAACACAGATGGTATGTTATATCGTAAGTGTATAGACATGTGACATGGTATATTGTAAGTGTACAGCACAGATGGTATGTTATATCGTAAGTGTATAGACATCTGACATGGTATATTGTAAGTGTACAGCACAGATGGTATGTTATATTGTAAGTGTATAGACATTTGACATGGTATAGTGTAAGTGTACAGCACAGATGGTATGTTATATTGTAAGTAAATAGACATTTGACATGGTATATTGTAAGCGTATAACACAGATGGTATGTTATATCGTAAGTGTATAGCAGATTCGACATGGTATATAGTAAGTGTACAGCACAGATTGTATGTTATATCGTAAGTGTATAGACATTTGACATGGTATATTGTAAGTGTACAACACAGATGGTATGTTATATCGTAAGTGTATAGACATTTGTCATGGTATATTGTAAGTGTACAACACAGATGGTATGTTATATTGTAAGTGTAAAGACATTCGGCATGGTATATTGTAAGTGTACAACACAGATGGTATGTTATATTGTAAGTGTAAAGACATTCGGCATGGTATATTGTAAGTGTACAACACAGATGGTATGTTATATCATAAGTGTATGGCAGATTCGACATGGTATATTGTAAGTGTACAGCACAGATGGTATGTTATATCGTAAGTGTATAGACATTTGACATGGTATATTGTAAGTGTACAGCACAGATGGTATGTTATATCGTAAGTGTATAGCACATTCGACATGGTATGTAGTAAGTGTATAGATGACATGGCATATTGATCTTGGATTGCACGAATGGTATGTTATATCGTTAGTGTATAACACATTCGACATGCATAGCATATTAAATGTATCCACTCACTGATGACAAAGAGGGTGGACCGTGGTCAGAAGGATCACCAAGTCTGTGACTGTCACTGCTGAATGTCGAGAGAGGGCTGTATAGTGCGTTATCGCCTCTTTATGTACAGTCCGCATTGCTCTGCCTATCCCAAAACATGTTCAAGACATGACATTAGCTATCATGACACAACACATATGCACTGTATACGAGGCCAAGTTTGGGTTTAACTCTATTTCCCTGCAATTCCTCATGGACATCGCGTTGACACGATCCAATAGAAAGGCTGAGGTAGGTTATTCCATGAAACTTTAACCGTTGCCCCGGCTAAGTAGAGAGGGGAATCCCCCCGTGTGATTTAGCTGCCAGGTTACACCCCCCTGCACGTGCAGGCTCGCGCCCATTCTCTCCAACCGCTCATACCGCCTCCTGATTGGACAGAATCCTGAGGGATAAAAAACTTGACGTGCGAGTACATGCTCTCTTCAGCCTGCCTGTTTGACTGATTATGTAAGTGAATATGGATTTGTAAGAATAGCCAGTCTGTCCCCGCGCAATTAGTCAGCGGCATCTATAAACCCAGAGTGGGACGGTTGGGCGAGCCATTCACAACATCTGTGGAGGAGCGAGGCAGAGTCTCACAGCATCCTACTCACAACACGGAATTGTTGCAGCAGCAGCAGCGAGCGTCAGTCGACTGCTGATCTCAGTGCCGCCTCTTCATCGCTCACGGCAGCGGTCCATCACACAGGAATACCCCAGTTACCGTCGTACACCATGTCTCTAGACAGCTTCCTCGGAAAATGGCAAGAGGAGTGCAAGGAAGGCTTTGACGAGTTCGCTGCTTCAATAGGTAGGTACACATTTTATTCTCGCGCCAAATGTCTCGTGCTGCAAATGTTGCACGCGCTGTCAGTTCTGGAAACAAACAGTGAATTTAGTTTTTTCCCCCTTCGCCAATCTCCGCCAAGTCGGACAAATCTGAAAGTTAAATGAAACAAGTTTTTTAGTTTTTTCCACAGTTTTGGTTTTAAGAAGACGTTTTGTTGTCCGTTAGGGCATGGGTTGTTTAAGATGACACTGGGTCGGTATTCACCCTAATCCCCCGCGCTGAAGAAGCAACGGCAGGATTGGGGGGAGACATAGTTTGCTGAGATTATCGCCGTCTTATGTCCAAATAGATCATCTTTGTGTCTGTCACCTGAACACTACGTGAATGTGAGAACCAGCATCCGCCGCCACGTCCGTGTTGACACGGAGTCCGTCACCATGGAGGCGAGTGACGCCGTGGATTCCACAACCCCTACGGCCAGTCCAGAAGTACCTGTCAAATATTTGACATGTCGTGACTTTCATCATAACATGCGTCGCTCGTCAAATACGACGCTGCTCCCGGTACTAGAAAGCGGGGTCTTCCGCCTTCCATCCTTGGAAACATTTAGCAACTCTATGTGAGGGTTTGTGTTCTGTAGTCAGGGGACAAAGCCTGTTGTAAGATCTAGTTGACAGTATGGTCAGCGGTTATTCGCTAAGTACTACATACAAACATACAACGACTTCGCCGACGGTCGGTTAATCCGGCCGTTCCCATGACTGGAACAACTGAGGGGTGAGACTGACCACCAGTGTGTCCCTTTATTCCAATATGTTCTTTCTTCACTGGACCGACGCAGGTCACCCCGTGCCCCACCCCACACACCCCCATCCGGCATCGGGTGGTCAGGCTCGCTGACTGGATTGACACATGTCATTGTATCCCAGTTGCGTAGATCGATGCTCATGCTGTTGATCACTGGATTGTGTAGTACAGACTCGATTATTTACAGACCGTCGCCATATAGCTGGAATATTGCTGAGTGCGGCATAAAACTAAACTCACTCACTCACCATCTCTCGTAGCTCTTTGCAACGCGATGACTATGGCTCCATGGCTTGTTAGCTACGTATCACACACCATGGGTATATTGCTCCATCCTTGCTATATGCGTGGCACACACCAGGAAAATGGCTCCATCTCTGGTGGTTGTGTGGCATACACCATCAATATGGCTTCATCTCTGGTAGTTGTGTGGCGTACACCATAAATATGGCTCCATCCGTGGTAGCTGATGTAGTTCCACTGGTGGGGGCCATGATATCAATATAACAGACACGACACTATGGCCCATGATATCAGTATCAAGGATACTGCGCTATGAGCCATGAAATCAATGCCACAGGCACTACACTGTTGGTCATGATATAACAGACACCACAGTATAACAGACACCACACTACGGGACATAATTTAGGTACCATCGACACTACGCCATGATATCAGTGTCACAGACCCTGCACTTTGGGCCATGATATTAGTACCACAGACTCTACACTGTTGGCCATGATATCAGTATAGTGGACACTAATCTATTGGCCATGATATCAGTATAACAGACACTAATCTGTGGGTCATGATATCAGTATAAAGGACACTGATCTGTGGGCCATGATATGTATGACACTAATCTATGGCCATGATATCAGTATAACGGACACTAATCTATGGGCCATGATATCAGTGTATAACAGACTAACTGGGCCATCTATGGGCCATGGTATATAACGGACACTAATCTATGGGCCATGATATCAGTATAACATACACTAATATATGGGCCATGATATCAGTATGAACATATGGGCCATGATATCTGTAACGGACACTAATTTATGGGCCATGGTATAAGTATAACAGACACTAATCTATGGGCCAGTACGAACACTATGGGACACTAATCTGTATGGGCCATGATATCATGTACACGGACGAACACTATGGGCCATGATATCAGTGTCACAGACACTAATTTGTGGGCCATGATATCAGTATAACGAACACTATGGGCCATGATATCAGTATAACGGACACTAATTTATGGGCCATGGTATCAGCATAACGGACTATGGGCCTAATATATGGGCCATGATATCTGTATAACGGACACTTAATCTATGGGCCATGGTATCAGATATATAACGGACACTAATCTATGGGCCATGGTATAAGTATAACGGACACTAATCTATGGACCATGATATCAGTGTCACAGACTAATCTACATGGTATAATCTGAACATCTATGGGCCATGATATCAGTATAACGGACACTAATCTATGGGCCATGGTATAAGTATAACGGACACTAATCTATGGGCCATGATATAAGTGTAACGGACACTAATCTGTGGGCCATGATATCAGTATAACAGACACTAATCTGTGGGCCATGATATCAGTATAACGGACACTAATCTATGGGCCATGATATCAGTATAACGGACACTAATCTATGGGCCATGATATAAGTGTAACGGACACTAATCTATGGGCCATGATATCAGTATAATGGACACTAATCTAACGGCCATGGTATATCAGTATAACGGACACTAATCTATGGGCCATGGTATAAGTGTAACGGACAATAATCTATGGGCCATGATATCTGTATAACGGACACTAATCTTTGGGCCATGATATCAGTGCCGCAGACGCTCAGGTCAAACTCACACAATCACTGTCGCATTGCATGTAACTGAATCAGTTTTGATTTCCCCATCACAGAATGAGGGCTGTATCATCTATCACTGAAGCATTGCTATATCACACACTCACTGTGTAAGGGAACTGCTGCGGTATTGCAGTGCTATATCGTCTATTAGACACAGCGTTTTATTTCCACCACGAAATCCTTGTCAAAACGAAGAAACGGAGTCAATTTCGTATTGCCTATCACAGAAGCAGACATGCACCGTTATCACAGTGCTCTATTGTCTATCATATAATGGTTGTCACGTTTCTATCAGAGAAGAAGTGTTGTTTTTTCTGTCACAAAATCACGGTTGCATTGACTGCAAGAGAAAAAGTGCAGTATTGCCTATTAAATTCTCTATGAAAGAAGCAGTGCTATAGTATAGTATGAATTACAGAAATATGCTATCTGTTATCACAAAATAGCAATTTCAGTGCTGTACAATCCATAACAGAGCCAGCGCTGTAATATCTATTGCAGAAGACGTGATATATTGTGTGTCACAGAAGCAATGCTGTTTTGTCTGTCACGCCATATCCATAACGGAATCAGTGCTGCACTGTCCATTACATACCCGATATTATCTGTCACACATATTGACTATCACAGAAGCAGAGCTCTAATGTCTCACACAGAAGCAGTGCTATATTGTCTGTCACAGAAGCAGTGCTCTATTGTCTAACATAGAAGCAGTGCTATATTGTCTGTCACAGAAGCAGAGCTCTAATGTCTCTCACAGAAGCAGTGCTATATTGTCTGTCACAGAAGCAGTGCTATATTGTCTAACACAGAAGCAGTGCTATATTGTCTAACATAGAAGCAGTGCTATATTATCTGTCACAGAAGCAGTGCTGTATTATCTGTCACAGAAGCAGTGCTATATTATCTGTCACAGAAACAGTTCTATATTTCCTATCACAGAAACGGTGCTATATTATCTGTCACAGAAGCAGGGCTATATTATCTGTCACAGAAGCAGTGCTATATCGTCTATCACAGAAACAGTGCTATATTATCTGTCACAGAAGCAGTTCTATATGTCCTATCACAGAAGCAGTGCTATATTGTCCATCACAGAAGTATTGCGATATTTCCTATCACAGAAGCAGTGCTATATTGTCCATCACAGAAGTATTGCGATATTTCCTATCACAGAAGCAGTGCTATATTTCCTATCACAGAAGCAGTGCTATATCGTCTATCACAGAAGCAGTGCTATATCGTCTATCACAGAAGCAGTGCTATATTATCTGTCACAGAAGCAGTTCTATATTTCCTATCACAGAAGCAGTGATTTGTTGTCCGTCACAGAGAATAATTGATATATTGTCAATGAAATGATCACACAATCACTGAAGCATTGCCCGTGAAGGAATGAGTCTTGTACTGTCTATAACAGAACCAGTGGTATATTATATATAACAGAACCAGTGGTATATTATATATAACAGAACCAGTGGTATATTATCTATAACAGAACCAGTGGTATATTATCTATAACAGAACCAGTGGTATATTATCTATAACAGAACCAGTGGTATATTATCTATAACAGAACCAGTGATATATTATCTATAACAGAACCAGTGGTATATTATCTATAACAGAACCAGTGGTATATTATCTATAACAGAACCAGTGGTATATTATCTATAACAGAACCAGTGGTATATTATCTATAACAGAACCAGTGGTATATTATCTATAACAGAACCAGTGGTATATTATCTATAACAGAACCAGTGGTATATTATCTATAACAGAACCAGTGGATATATTATCTATAACAGAACCAGTGGTATATTATCTATAACAGAACCAGTGGTATATTATCTATAACAGAACCAGTGTTATATTATCTATTAGTGATATATTAACAGAACCAGTGGTATATTATCTATAACAGAACCAGTGGTATATTATCTATAACAGAACCAGTGGTATATTATCTATAACAGAACCAGTGGTATATTATCTATAACAGAACCAGTGGTATATTATCTATAACAGAACCAGTGGTATATTATCTATAACAGAACCAGTGGTATATTATCTATAACAGAACCAGTGGTATATTATCTATAACAGAACCAGTGGTATATTATCTATAACAGAACCAGTGGTATATTATCTATAACAGAACCAGTGGTATATTATCTATAACAGAACCAGTGGTATATTATATGTCTACAAGGCAGACCTACTCGTGAAGATCCGGGTTAGAATTGATCTTCAGTAACCCATGCTTGTCGTAAGAGGCGACTAACGGGATCGGGTGGTC